AAATTTTGTTTAGTTTGAGAATGCAAATTTTTTTTCTTTAGGTGTAAAAAAAACGTAATTAAGAATTTTCAGAAACAAATAACATTATTTGAAACCATCAATTAGTCAACCAATTTTCAAAAATTATTATTTTAGAATAACAAAAATTGATATCGATTTTATGAAGATTTTGTAAGAATAAGAATCATATGATTATTAGAAATTGGAATATTTGCTAATATATTTGGTAATGTAGATAAGATTATTTAATGATGAATTTGGATTAGGAAATAGAAGATTTGATAATTAATTTAATATATTAACTTAAATAGATTTATTTTTAAAAACTAAGAAAAATTGTTGTGTTTGTTAATATATTTGGTAATGTATATAAGATTATTTAAGGATAAATGTGGACTAGGAAATAAAATATTTGATAATTAATTTAATACTAGGTAATTGGTCTGCACATAAGTGCGGGCATGAAAATTGCGGGCATGAAAATTTTATAAAAAATTAATTATTAATAATATATATCATTAATAATAAATAAGTGAACGATATGTTTAATAATATATTTGTAAGAAATTTTTGTTTGTGAAATAATGTTTTAATAGATTTGAAAAATTGTATATAGTAAAAAAATAAAACATACACAAAATTTAAAATATTTTAAAAAATCATAAAATAAAATAAAATAATTCTTTTTTATTCGCTAATTTCTATTTTTTACTTCTATTTTTCATCTTTTTATAGTTTGTTATCTCATTCCGTCACTTTATGTCTTATTTCTAGTTCGTAATTCTTACTATATAATTGAAATATATTCACATATAATATAAACTTTTGATCTTTATTTATAGTGACACAAAATAAGATGATAATAAAAGTGAAAAAAATTCTCCTTTTAAAAATCTGATACTGCAAAATTTCACACAAACAACTGAACTTGTAAATATTTCGCTAAAAACTTACTTAAAATAAGATTTCAAAAATTTCCATCATAAACCGATTTCACAAATTTTATGCCAAAAATATGAATAAGTAACTTTTGCACCAAAATAATTACATCAAAAATAGGATCCAAAAACATTTTATCAAAATTTTGATTTTGTGAATTTCCTGACAAAAACTGAATCCAAAAAAAAATGTGATTCGAAAAACTACCATTCAAAATTTTGATTTCATGAATTTCCTGCTATATAAGTGAAACCGTAAATTTTCTGTAAAAAAGTATTTAAAAATATAATTTTAAAAAGCTTCCGTGAAAACCCGGTTTCAGAAATTTTCCGCTAAAAACATGAATTTGTAACTTTCCCACCAAAACATATATTTTAGAGTATTTTAATATGATTTCGTGAGTTTTTGCCAAATTATGAATCCATAAATTTTATGTCAAAAATATAATATCAAAAAAAAATCTGGTTAAATAGATTGTCTCAAATTTTCCGCTAAATACTTGAAATCTGTACATTTCCCTGGCAAAATTTTTGTGTTGAAATATAATTTCATATTTATTTGACAAAAATATAATTTTTTCTATACTCCAATTTTATATCAAAATTTTAACATCAAATTTTATTTATAGATTAAATAATACCATGTCACAAGCCATGTGTATTAAAAACTGACATGTCACAATTTCATCATTATTACACATCATCATTTTCATGTCACATTAAAATTGCCCAAACTAAACATATTAACCAATCAAATTAAAACAAATCAGCATTTTTCATTAAACTACATTCTCAATTAATAGGTAGAGGATATTTACTTAAATAGATTAAAAAAATACTAAGAAAATTTATGGTGTTGACACATCAGCAAAAATGACCTTTAATGTTTTATGTTTCTACTTTAATATATAGTAGATTATCCCACATTTGAAGTTAAAAGAGAACATAACTAATATATAAGGAGTATGAGCCAGTTCACTCAAAACCAATTGATTTTGGGTTGAAAGTCCATGTAACTTTATATGATATCAAAACCCGATCCACACAATTCAACATGATTCGACCCAAAGTTGGTCCAATCATTGACCAGGCCTAAATTGGTAGCGTCGATCTAATCCCAAACATATCAAAATCAAGACTCAAAAGAGACATCATCTCAAGTAGGCATATTAAAAATATTATCACATATTGAAAATTAGAAAGAATCATAACTAATATACAAGGAATATGGATCAATCCATTATTGTCAATTAGTTTAACCAAAATACAAAAAATCAAAATATATATAACATAGCCACCATTGTTTACAAACGGATCAGCATCCAAGGTTTTGCAGCTGTTGAGTTCGATGAAAATACTCCAAGTTCTAGGATTTTTGTGCCTCCATATATAAGAGAAGGAAAGATAATGGACCTTCTGCTTTTATTGGACTTTTTCGTGGTAAGAAGGTTGGACTTCTGCTTTGATCATAAAATGTGGTTATCATCTTTGTTTGTTGGTATCATACCTTATTAGTCTATTGTTGTCGTTCACACTTTTGTTCATCAAAACGATGGATCCCAAACTTTATACATTTTCATAATTAATATCTTGTATAATGTTTAAACAATATAGTATTATATTTTTATGCAAAAATCAAATGTTTATTCTTTTTTTTTTAACATCGATTTATTAATCCATTGCAAATTATGAGAACTGTTACATCGACGATTCTACAACGGTCAATTCTACCGTCTTATGAAGATCTAAGACTAACGGCTCTACCTGCATCTTGCACCACGCATCATGAACCACGCTTACCATCATCATATGAAGATTTACGCCTGACGATTCTGCTTGCACTACGCTGAAGATCTCTTGTAAGCTTGCCTCCATTAATTTGCATCATTCTTCATTAATCTGCATAATTAAGAATAAATCGCGCTCGCTGGGATTTGAAACCCAGATCTCCTGGTGTAGAAGCAATAATAAACCTTTATTAAACCATTGTGCTAAGCTGGCTTCCACGAAAACGTTAATTCATTAACAATTACAACTCAAATACTGTTATAAAGTTTTATACCACAGTTCAAACTATAGAAAGTTTACAAATCTATATAAATGTTTACAAAAATAGTATTTTGAATTCTTTATTTTAGTGATATATTTGAAAATGTGTACCCCAAAATTAACATTTTTCTATTTTAGTATGTATAGAAGTCAATTTGAAAATTAATTTTCAACGTTTTTAAAGAACTAAAGATCAGAATTTTTTTTTTAATTTAAAGACAATGTTGTGAGATCTGGATCAGACCCGTTACTAATCTGGTCAGGGTTCGATACTTAAATATGCTAGTTTTAAATCCGGTTAAACCTTCAATCTGAAGTTCATTACTTAAATTTTTAGAGTTATAACTAATCTGGATTTACAACTAATCTAAATAACTTTAGGAATTTCATATTTTAAAATACGTTCAGGATAGCAATTTAGTTTTTTTTTTCTATCTGTTTACTAATCTGGTGAGGGTTCAGTACTTAAACTCTGAGCAGATTTACAACTAATCCGCTCAAAGTTACTAATCCGGTTCAATACTTAAATTCTAGGGGTTATCCAGATTAGTAACTGGATTCCTAAACCCTAAAACCCCAATCTGGTTACTAATCTGGTCAGGATTCAATACTTAAATCAACTAGTTGTAAATCCGACTTAACCTAGAAATACTCATTATTAACCGTTGACTTAGTGACACAGTGTAACTCTCCCGACCGTCCCTACCGGCGAGTCACACGTCCCTCCGTCGAGCTTGTGGGTCCCGCCCCTCTTCGACGGCCGGTGCGTTATTTTTTCCAGAGTCCAACCGACTTATTTACTGCCCCTGCAATCAGCACATGATATTTCTCTGTGTTTTGGCCTCACTCACACGATTTCGGGAATCACTTCCCGAAAGGTTACCTATCTTAGTTTTGCTCCAGCTCAAGCACGCTTAACTCTGGAGTTCTCTCAGGCCCACTAACTGAAAAAATAAGTGCACTTTAGTAACATAGACATCCAAATTAATCCATTTAAACTTAAGCCAAATTATAGTGACCTGGGTCCAGCCCATTTGAATAAGTTTAAATAGATTAATTTGACTACCTATGTCACCAAAGTGCACTTATTTTTTCGGTCACTGGTCATGAGAGAACTCTACAGTTAAGGGTGCTTGAGCTGGAATAAGATTATGATGGGTGACCTTTGGAGAAGTGATCCTGAAACCATGTGAGTGAGGCCAAAAACACAGAGAAAAATCATGTGATGATTGCAGAATCAGTAAATAAGTCGGTTGAGCTATGAAAAAAAATAACACACTGACGGAGGGATATTTGACTAGCCAGTATGAGCGGTCGGGGACATTACACACAGTTTCATTAATTGAACTGACTGGGTAGCAAATTAGTTTTTTTCTTCTTCTCACGACCATACTTTCTTCTCCGATGTATTAGTAAACCAAATTGAAAATCTACAAACTGGAGTTGCCTATCTCGTCATATATAGAGTTTTAAAATCAGACCCACAAACAATTTGGACTTTAACTCAAACAATACACAGTTATTTAAATAACTACATTAACCCAAACTTTTCAGCCCATAATCACACAAACTTTAAAATAGGTCTTGACCCACATGATAGAGTACCACACCACATCTATTCTTTGATTTGGTTAAAATTAGTGTTTTAAAATCAAAATAATAGATTTGACACATACTAGTTCTATGATTTTCTTAAATTTAGAAATTAACTAAATTCAATATTATTTTTCTATAATTTTATAATTCATATTCAAATTCTGTGTTGTTAGTTCAACAATTTTAAAATCCATATTCAAATTATGTGTTATTGGTTTATGATTTTTAAATTATTAATTTTATATTAAAATAAATTTTAGAGGATTTAGAAGGATTTTCATGTTAAAAATACAAAGACTCAGATCCGAACTTAAACATCTGATTTGTAAAATTAACATGTTAGATTCAAAAATCAACAAATATGACAAAAATTATATGAATTCTTAAATCAACTAAATACAGAAACTAATAATACCCATGAATTCGTCCCAAATCTATTTATGTTTATGTTATTATGTTTGAATCTAATTGTTTTACACGTATAAAAACTATGTTAATTAGTTAACAAACTTATTTTTTATTACGTGAAATTATTAATAATTAAACTTCGCCAATTCTCTTATTCAATTTCGTTTAAGCAATATAAAATAGTTCACATGTTTCTCACACTTTTTAAAGTCAATTGGGTACATGGCAAGTTTCTTAGCCAAACGATCAAATAGCTCATTGACCACACCTTCTCCAAAATGTTCTTTGATGATGGTATTGAGAATAGCTCTAAACATGGAAATAATAAAGTTGTTGGATAATGGATTATCCTCCAATGGATGACTTATAGTCTCCATCGTCTCAATTGTAAAGCATCTATTTCTCTCAATCTCTCTCTTCAACTCGCTAAACTGCGGAAAATATACAGGCAAGTTGAACAACTCTACCTTTTCCTTGCTCGTTAGTCCCTACAACGCAAAAAACAACAACTAATTACTAGCAATGTTTGATGACTCCTTTTCTGATTCATATACAGGCTCTCAAATAACACTAGATATCTTTTAAAATATAGAAAATATCTAACAAACATACTATGACATAGGCTTCAAAAACTATGATGTTTAACAAAAAATGAAACTTCAATGTAGAAAATATATAAAAAAAAGGTTTTAGAATTATGTCTTACCGATTTGGCCATATCCATAAGACAATTACCGATAGTATCCACCACAATACCCTGCCATGTCTCAGACATGTTGACACCATCGGCCAAACATTGTCCTAAAACAAACATTAATCCTCCATGAACAATCTCTTCAGCTCTAGCTTCAAGAAAAACCCTCATGTCTTTTATGAACTGGATTTTGTAAGCTTTGGTCACTTCTTCTATTGCATTATTACATAGAATGTAATTTTTGTTCCAAGCCAGAGAATTCTTGACACATACGTCTTTGGGAACTTCGGAAAGCCAGTGAGTTGTGTAGGAAGTGTGTCCGATGTGGATACTTTGTGTTGGTAACAGTCGACCATAGAAGGAGCCTGGAACTCCGACCGAGAAATATTCGCGTTGAAAGGAAGGAGGTAGGGTTCTAAAGAGTGTGTTGAAGTCATTGTTGGGTTGATCATTAAAGAACACTTGGAACTCGAGAGGCATGAGGCTACCTTCGTTGTTTTCCTTCAATTGTTTGAATTTCACCGTATCAATGATATTTTGAACAGCATGAAATGTGTTAGGTCCACTAGAACAACCAAAATCCGCAATTCTAACAATACCAAGATCGGAATTTAGTTGGCGACTGAGTTTTTCTAAAATGCATTGCCTTGTCTTCTCTTCAGCGCCATCTATTGCTGCTTTCTGAATCACAAAATGTTAGTTTATATAGGGATAAATGGAAAGAAGGTTGAAAGTTTTAGAGTTAAAGAAATACTCAATTTGGAATTTTGTTTGAATTTCATGGTTAGGATTTAAGATTTAGGTTTTATAGTTTATCTTCCTAGAGTTTAGGTGTTTAACATATTTTTGTCAACAAGATGCATTTTAAGTGTTCAAAGTTTAGAGTTTTGAGTTTTGAAGCTAGACATTTTTTCATTCTATTTTTTCATTCTATGAAATCTAATACTCCCTCCATTTTTTATTAGAAGATGTTTTAGAAATCTGCATCCAGATTAAGAAATCATTTAATTCTCTATTTTTTTTTCAAAATAAAACATGTTTTTTTATCAATTCTAAAACAGTTCAACCAATAGAAAAATAGGATTCAGAATTCAAACAACCAAAACAACAAAAATACAATTAATTTTTACATAAAAATTTGGGATCATATATTTTGGAACAAAAAATAAATTCTTAAAAAATCCTCAAATAAAAAATAGAGGGAGTATGTTTTTGCCCACTAATATTTACTTGATTCCATTTATTTTTTTCTGTCATAAAAACCGCATAATATGGTTATACTCTAGAATTAATTTATGTGGAATACACTCAACATAACTCCAACCATGTCAAGTACAGAAGAATATTACTTTTAAGAAAAAAACTAACAAAAGTAAAGAATATAACATTTCATGAGAGCATACTTGGTATGAAGAATTATGGAGGTAACTGTGTTGACCGTTACCGCCTGTCATCGGAAAGGAATTATAAGCTGATGTCATTGCTCTATGGTTTTGAGGTGGATGAACTTAAACTCTCCAAACTCTAGTTCCAACTTCCATTTATAACCAGAGAGATGAACGCATATGTAGATTTTTGAGATAACGGTGACATGTCAAGTTGTCAACTACTCAATAATGCAGTTGGCAAAATAAATAAATAAAGTACATGGTTTAAATTTTTAGGAGATAACTGATAATTACACAAGTTGACAAAAAAACCTAATAAATGACAGATAAGAAACCATAACAGGAAATGACAAAATAATGAACCCAACCCAACAATAGAATTTGTAATATTTCAATTCAATGGTAATGTTTGTAGATTCTTCACTCCCTCCATTAAAGCTATGAATGGAGTCACGGGTGGAAGACCGTCGACATGAAATACACCCCCCCTCCCTCTCACTCTTCCTCATCCTAAGAGATTGAGTTCAACTGGCACAACTGAAAGATTTAGTTCAACTGGTACAACTGAGAGATTTAGTTCAACTGGTACAACTGTGGTACTTTGTATAATTACTGATGGAGGAGAGTTGAAATTACTTGTATGTTATACCATTTAGGAACTTATCTTTGGAGGAGATAACTTACTCGGTATTAGTAGATAAGATATGCAGGAAGATTGAGATAGATAGAGCTAACGCACAATTGAAATTTAGCTACATTCCGTTGGTAAATAAACCTCTACGCGAGTCAAAGATTTTCGTTGATGATAATGTATATGTTTATCTAATAAACCTCTACCCTAAACCCCCCTCCCCCCTCTCACGAGCCTAAGCTCTTCCTCATCCTACTCCTCCTCTCTACCCGCCGAGCTCTCTTCTGTCTCCTTCCGTGTCCCGTGGACATCCTCTTGGACTATTCCTCCTTTTCTGCAATTGTTTTCCTCTTTCCTCTTCTGCCATTATTGAATATCCCATTTTTAAGGTGAGTTATTCTTCTTTAATTAGAGATATTTTATAAAATTAGGGATTTGGGTTTGAAAAATTAGGGATATGAGTTAGTAACTATGTATTCTGGATCGATTAAGCCTTAGGTTCGGTAATTTGTGAGAAAAACATGGTTATGTGAATCAGATTCATAAATAGAACCCGAGCTCGAGTTCACCCAATCTGCAATGATAGGACAAATGGTACAACTGGTACAACTGAGATAAAGTACAACTGAGAGCGAAATAGTACAACTAAGAGATTGAGTCCAACTGGCACAACTGAAAGATTTAGTTCAACTGGTACAACTGAGAGATTTAGTTCAGCTGGTACAACTGTGGTACTTTGTATAATTACTGATCGATTATTTTCATTATAAATTCAGGAGACTGTGAGCATAAACCACACAAACATGCATTTTGACTATGGAGGGAGTTATTCATGTGATGGAGGAGAGTTGAAATTACTTGTATGTTATACCATTTAGGAACTTATCTTTGGAGGAGATAACTTACTCGGCATTAGTAGATAAGATATGCAGGAAGATTGAGATAGATAGAGCTAACGCACAGTTGAAATTTAGCTACATTCCGTTGGTAAATAAACCTCTACACGAGTCAAAGATTTTCGTTGATGATAATGTATATGTTTATCTAATAAACCTCTACCCTAAACCCCCCTCCCCCCTCTCACGAGCCTAAGCTCTTCCTCATCCTACTCCTCCTCTCTACCCGCCGAGCTCTCTTCTGTCTCCTTCCGTGTCCCGTGGACATCCTCTTGGACTATTCCTCCTTTTCTGCAATTGTTTTCCTCTTTCCTCTTCTGCCATTATTGAATATCCCATTTTTAAGGTGAGTTATTCTTCTTTAATTAGAGATATTTTATAAAATTAGGGATTTGGGTTTGAAAAATTAGGGATATGAGTTAGTAACTATGTATTCTGGATCGATTAAGCCATAGGTTCGGTAATTTGTGAGAAAAACATGGTTATGTGAATCAGATTCATAAATAGAACCCGAGCTCGAGTTCACCCAATCTGCAATGATAGGACAAATGGTACAACTGGTACAACTGAGATAAAGTACAACTGAGAGCGAAATAGTACAACTAAGAGATTGAGTCCAACTGGCACAACTGAAAGATTTAGTTCAACTGGTACAACTGAGAGATTTAGTTCAGCTGGTACAACTGTGGTACTTTGTATAATTACTGATCGATTATTTTCATTATAAATTCAGGAGACTGTGAGCATAAACCACACAAACATGCATTTTGACTATGGAGGGAGTTATTCATGTGATGGAGGAGAGTTGAAATTACTTGTATGTTATACCATTTAGGAACTTATCTTTGGAGGAGATAACTTACTCGGTATTAGTAGATAAGATATGCAGGAAGATTGAGATAGATAGAGCTAACGCACAGTTGAAATTTAGCTACATTCCGTTGGTAAATAAACCTCTACGCGAGTCAAAGATTTTCGTTGATGATAATGTATATGTTTATCTAATAAACCTCTACCCTAAACCCCCCTCCCCCCTCTCACGAGCCTAAGCTCTTCCTCATCCTACTCCTCCTCTCTACCCGCCGAGCTCTCTTCTGTCTCCTTCCGTGTCCCGTGGACATCCTCTTGGACTATTCCTCCTTTTCTGCAATTGTTTTCCTCTTTCCTCTTCTGCCATTATTGAATATCCCATTTTTAAGGTGAGTTATTCTTCTTTAATTAGAGATATTTTATAAAATTAGGGATTTGGGTTTGAAAAATTAGGGATATGAGTTAGTAACTATGTATTCTGGATCGATTAAGCCATAGGTTCGGTAATTTGTGAGAAAAACATGGTTATGTGAATCAGATTCATAAATAGAACCCGAGCTCGAGTTCACCCAATCTGCAATGATAGGACAAATGGTACAACTGGTACAACTGAGATAAAGTACAACTGAGAGCGAAATAGTACAACTAAGAGATTGAGTTCAACTGGCACAACTGAAAGATTTAGTTCAACTGGTACAACTGAGAGATTTAGTTCAGCTGGTACAACTGTGGTACTTTGTATAATTACTGATCTATTATTTTCATTATAAATTCAGGAGACTGTGAGCATAAACCACACAAACATGCATTTTGACTATGAAGGGAGTTATTCATGTGATGGAGGAGAGTTGAAATTACTTGTATGTTATACCATTTAGGAACTTATCTTTGGAGGAGATAACTTACTCGGCATTAGTAGATAAGATATGCAGGAAGATTGAGATAGATAGAGCTAACGCACAGTTGAAATTTAGCTACATTCCGTTGGTAAATAAACCTCTACGCGAGTCAAAGATTTTCGTTGATGATAATGTATATGTTTATCTAATAAACCTCTACCCTAAACCCCCCTCCCCCCTCTCACGAGCCTAAGCTCTTCCTCATCCTACTCCTCCTCTCTACCCGCCGAGCTCTCTTCTGTCTCCTTCCGTGTCCCGTGGACATCCTCTTGGACTATTCCTCCTTTTCTGCAATTGTTTTCCTCTTTCCTCTTCTGCCATTATTGAATATCCCATTTTTAAGGTGAGTTATTCTTCTTTAATTAGAGATATTTTATAAAATTAGGGATTTGGGTTTGAAAAATTAGGGATATGAGTTAGTAACTATGTATTCTGGATCGATTAAGCCTTAGGTTCGGTAATTTGTGAGAAAAACATGGTTATGTGAATCAGATTCATAAATAGAACCCGAGCTCGAGTTCACCCAATCTGCAATGATAGGACAAATGGTACAACTGGTACAACTGAGATAAAGTACAACTGAGAGCGAAATAGTACAACTAAGAGATTGAGTCCAACTGGCACAACTGAAAGATTTAGTTCAACTGGTACAACTGAGAGATTTAGTTCAGCTGGTACAACTGTGGTACTTTGTATAATTACTGATCGATTATTTTCATTATAAATTCAGGAGACTGTGAGCATAAACCACACAAACATGCATTTTGACTATGGAGGGAGTTATTCATGTGATGGAGGAGAGTTGAAATTACTTGTATGTTATACCATTTAGGAACTTATCTTTGGAGGAGATAACTTACTCGGCATTAGTAGATAAGATATGCAGGAAGATTGAGATAGATAGAGCTAACGCACAGTTGAAATTTAGCTACATTCCGTTGGTAAATAAACCTCTACACGAGTCAAAGATTTTCGTTGATGATAATGTATATGTTTATCTAATAAACCTCTACCCTAAACCCCCCTCCCCCCTCTCACGAGCCTAAGCTCTTCCTCATCCTACTCCTCCTCTCTACCCGCCGAGCTCTCTTCTGTCTCCTTCCGTGTCCCGTGGACATCCTCTTGGACTATTCCTCCTTTTCTGCAATTGTTTTCCTCTTTCCTCTTCTGCCATTATTGAATATCCCATTTTTAAGGTGAGTTATTCTTCTTTAATTAGAGATATTTTATAAAATTAGGGATTTGGGTTTGAAAAATTAGGGATATGAGTTAGTAACTATGTATTCTGGATCGATTAAGCCATAGGTTCGGTAATTTGTGAGAAAAACATGGTTATGTGAATCAGATTCATAAATAGAACCCGAGCTCGAGTTCACCCAATCTGCAATGATAGGACAAATGGTACAACTGGTACAACTGAGATAAAGTACAACTGAGAGCGAAATAGTACAACTAAGAGATTGAGTCCAACTGGCACAACTGAAAGATTTAGTTCAACTGGTACAACTGAGAGATTTAGTTCAGCCGGTACAACTGTGGTACTTTGTATAATTACTGATCGATTATTTTCATTATAAATTCAGGAGACTGTGAGCATAAACCACACAAACATGCATTTTGACTATGGAGGGAGTTATTCATGTGATGGAGGAGAGTTGAAATTACTTGTATGTTATACCATTTAGGAACTTATCTTTGGAGGAGATAACTTACTCGGTATTAGTAGATAAGATATGCAGGAAGATTGAGATAGATAGAGCTAACGCACAGTTGAAATTTAGCTACATTCCGTTGGTAAATAAACCTCTACGCGAGTCAAAGATTTTCGTTGATGATAATGTATATGTTTATCTAATAAACCTCTACCCTAAACCCCCCTCCCCCCTCTCACGAGCCTAAGCTCTTCCTCATCCTACTCCTCCTCTCTACCCGCCGAGCTCTCTTCTGTCTCCTTCCGTGTCCCGTGGACATCCTC